TTTTTTTAAACCAAATTGCTGATGCGACAAGCACCTAAAAATGTCTCCATAGGAATGACTCCTGTATCACCTCAAGTGTCTTGGTTTAGATTTCAGTCTTATCACATAACCTAGTTCTGCTCTAGGACACTTGAATGTCATCAACTATTGGGTTAATTCAAGATCCTAAGCAAGCTACTCCAAAGAAAAGACATAAGTTTGAGGACCAATGTGTAGTTCTAAAGTCATTAATAATGCATGACCAAGTATTGTAATAATCTTTCATTCAGGAAAGCTACACTTTTGCCTAGTCTAAATTTTGAAAAACCTGAAAACAACCAAGGAAATATTCTCTTATAAGTAACTTTATTTTCTCATTTAATTGAAATCATTTTTGGGCTGGTCGAATAGCTCAGTGGATTAAGTGCCTACTAGCAGATCCCCAGGCCTGCCATGCTGGCCCTGCCCCCAGGGCACTCTGAGATGATTGAGACTGGGCATTGTGGCGTGCCTGTAATCCCAGGTCTTGGGAGGCTGTAAAGAGCAGATCACTGAGTCTGTTCTAGTAGTGAGACCCTGAACACTCTGTAGACCCTTCCCTAAAAAAATACAAAAAAAAATTGAAACTATTTTCAGTATAATAATAACCTGTAAGTTTTGCAACCACTCCCTTCATATTTCATAAACTTTACAATACAGTGATTCTCAGTCTAGGATGTTCATCAGAATCACTTGTATAAAGAAAGCACTTCTACAAAAGATTGTAACTGTCCAGGTTATTCCCAGAACTAATGAACTGGAGTCTCTAGAGAGAGAAGTGGGGAAACAATTTGTGTGTGTGTGTGTGTGTGTGTGTGTGTGTGTGTAGCAGAACAGAGCTGATGTTCTGCATCATCCTATTACTATGGTCTCTTGTCACTAAAACCTGTCTAAGCCAGTTGAGGGTCTTCTGTGCCTTGCCATATATATATATAAACTTAAAATTCTTGTGTTCAAAGCAGTTTTATCTTGTGTTTCCCTTTTAGGTTGGCTTCAATGCTGATGAAGCCCATAATATCGTCAAAGAGGTGAGTTATACATACTCACTTTGAAGCTTACTACACAGCTAGCAATTTTTTACAAACTTTTTTACAAGTTTTGATTTTCACTTAAGGCTAGAAATCTTAGTGTTAAAGCCATAAAATTTTAAATAATTACTAACTATAGAGATGCTTCTGTTTTTCAATGTATTATTGAGTATCTTGAAAGTTACTGTGAAAGAGATGTGTAAGGACCATCTTAGCCTAGAAAATAGTTTTTCTGTCTTCTAAAATTGATATCCTGTCTTTTGAATAAGTTTTTTATTACAGTAGACCATTATTTTAATTTTTAATTCTATAAAAGCATGTGCATATATGCATATATATGTACATTTTATAACATAAAGTACATGCATGATACATATGTACATTATTATATTCAATAGATACAAGATCCTAGAAGTGTCTGCCTTTGGCCTTTATATTGTTGAGAAGGATTTTTTACCCCAGCTGGCTCAGCCTGCCTTAAGGGCGGGTCTGGTAAGGAAGTTGGAGGTAGGGTTTGAACCACGGTATCCTGTGCCTGACAGTGCTTAAACAACTGAGCTAAGCAGCAGGCCCCTTGGCCTTTATATTGTTGTTTGAGCTCCATATAATAACAAATATCATCACTTAATATAATTTAGGTACTGATATTATAGCAAACTGAAATCTTAAGAAAACTGAAAAACATGAAATCTGGTCCTTTGTCAAGCAGATAGGAAGCCAATTCTCTTTGGGAATCAATTCTGGCTGAAGAACTTTAGTTATTCTAGTGATACCATTACAGATTACATGATGGGAAAGGTAACTATGAACATTTTAGTAGTACTTACTCATCTCTAACTCTGCCAAGTACTAGAGGAAAAACTGAGCTAGCCCAGAAGGCAGTCTTCCATGGCTGTTGGGGCCTGTTTCCTAGCAGGCCCTGACTGCTCTAAGTCTGGACTGGATCAGCGTCATTCCCATCATCAGTTCATCCTGAGACAGTGCGTCACCTGCCTGATTGCTCTCGGGGCACCTGATCAGAAAGAGATCAAACAGGTCTGGCCTGTACACCTGGGAACAACTAAGTGTTTGAGAGGACTTGACAGGCATCTGAAAATTTTGCTGTGTCTTAATAGGCCAAAATCATATTAACACCTGATAGTCCAGAAACACTTACTTATATCATAAGCAATTAATTATATAACAAGTAATTATTAAAAATATTGTGAAAGCACAAATAAGGAAAATTTGAATTAGTGACTAATGAGGAGGAGAAGAATGATAACAATCTCATTTTTCAAAATCAAAAGTCAACAGAAATTATTCTTGCACAGCGTAACATAAAAAAAAAACATGTTCATGCCAGTTGCTGCTGTGCTATCTCTCAGGTAGATGATTGTTCAAAAAGAAGGAGGTGGTGAATGAAGGTAAGAGATACGAAAAGGAATACTGTGGGACTGTCCTGCTTCAAGGTTGTATATGGTTAGATTTTTGGACTTATGTGTAAACATAAGAAGTATATAATTCTTTATGCCTATTTTAAAAAAATATATTCTAATTTTTAAATGTTTTTTCATCATATTGTAGAGGGACTTAAAGTTCAACATATCAATACTTGATGAAAAATACCTGTTCCATATTATTGCCTAAGATGTTTGATATGCAGACAGATAGTGAGGTTAAGCTTAACAGCCTAAGTTGTAAGGTAATAACAATAAGCTTGTCTTCTGGAGGGTTAACAACCTAAGTTTGCAGACCAAAATTAGAGAAAAAGGAGGGCCACAAGGAAAGCCAACATTTTGGCCCTAGCCTTCCAAGGTCACTTAAGACTCATGACACATGAGAACTTATACTGTAATGTCATGTAACTTAGTAGTGTCCCAAATTTTCTAATCAAGGAGATTATGGGGCCAAAGAGGAAAGTGATTGATGATGTAGAGTGTGCCTAAGGAGAGTCACATGGAGAGAAAACATTCTCTCAGTCTTTCACAGAAAGTACATTGGCCAAGCAATGGCTGTGACTCACCCACATGACTGACACTGACAAAGGTTCTGCAGTCTGAGGTACAGGATCTCAGGATAATTCCTGAGGGGATTTCACTGACCTTATCAGACCCAAAAGATACAACTCTTGTTGCATAGGTTCTGCTTTACCTTGGTCTTAACCATCCAGCAGAAAAGTATAAAAACGAAGTATAAGAAGTAAAGCCATGGTGTTATGTTGAGCTGTAGGGGACTCAGGTCAACAATTTCTGACATTGCCAGTGAAGCGGAAGATCCAGTACTATTATGGACTACTGAACTCTTTTAGAATATTTTGCTTAGTTAACACACCTATAATATTTAAATGATGGAACTTAACAAAAAAAGGGGGCTACAGATGAATGTCCATTTTTTATCTGTATATTCAAAATGGTTAGGATAGATATATAGTTACATTCTCTTAATGAATGGAGGGATTTGTTCTAATGGTGTTTGTAAATAGGATATCAAGTCCGCATCTTGTACAGCAATTAACCACTAGGAAGAATGCATGCAATATGTTAATTATTGAAACTGTCCTACCAATTTGGTTTGAAACTGTCTCATTGCTATTTGTTTCTCAATAAAATTATGGAAAAAAACATGTCGGGACTTTGGTGAGGTCTCTTGGTGCCTTCTTCCTTACTCAAGTGTTGAAGCAGATGAAAAGACAAAGAGTCATCAGAATAAAAAGGAAACACCCCTATTATGGATAAAAATCTACATAGATGATTTTAGGTTATTTTACTTACTCTTGCTTAGTTTAGATCTTGGAAGAGATATCTAAGGGAAAGCTGTAGTCAGCAGAGAGAAACTCCCAGATTAATGACTTTCATTGATTTGGGTATAAAGGGTAGGAGAAAAAAAAGTCAAGTTCCAGATGTTTGTCCCATTCTAAAATTACAATAGCAATTTTATTGGTCACCCACCAACCAGATATGTCACTCCATCGCTATGTGAAGGAATAACTTGAAATACAAGGCCAGGATATTAAGGAAAACTCTGTGTGCAAGGAGTTGCCAGGAGTGGAAAAGAAATATGTTCTGAAGAGTGTTAACACATTATATGGAATTAAAAATAGTGAATTCAGGTGCTGGGTCGATAGCTCAGTGGTCTATCTGGCAAGTGCCTGCCTGCAAAGTACAAGGATCAGGGTTTGATCCCTGGCATTGCATGCTGTACCAGCCCAGAACCACGCAAGCCATCGAGACTGGGTGTGGTGATGCATGTCTGTAATCCCAGTGCTGGAGAGGCTGAGACAGGAGGATCTCTAAGAGAGTCTGAGCTGAGCTGTGTAGTGAGACCCTGTACCAAATACATAAATAGTAAACAGATAAGATTTAAAAGTTTTAAAAAGGTAGTGAAATCACTACTTAACGATGGGAGGGAGGAGGCAGGTACCCTGAGGAAGATGAATTGTCATCTGTGATAGCAGGGATTCTATGGATTTGTCTATTATTCAAAAATCTATAAATATTTATATAAATGTTATTTGGAGATACATAATTCTTGCAATAATAGACAGTTGTACACTGAAAGTTTTTTCCTCTAGTGAATAGAATTTGAGGGATGGGGAAGCAATGAGAGAGGAGATATACTTTGGTTTATGTTGCAATGACATTTTATTGAATTAAAAGAACTACACTGCTTAAACTGGAATGTTCATACTTGGTAGTAGGTAGGTGGTGCTAGAAGCTACTATATACTTTTTTTTTTGAAAAATGGGGTATTGGGAATTGAACACAAGACCTCACACCAGGCAGGCACTGTGCCACTGAGCTAAATCCCTGGCCATACATACCCTTTAGAGCATAAATGTTAAATTTTACTTGCAAGAAAGCATTAAATTATATAAAAACTGAAAACATTTTTGATACAAACTGACACATTAGCATCAAAAGCAAGATTCAGTTGAATTTTTTATATGAAACATAATATTTCAAAGAAATCTGTTTTACTACAGGTTACATTGATCTATATGTCTCTGCTCTTCCTACTTCTTTCTTTCTCCATAATTTTATTGATAGACAAATAGCAATGAGACAGTTTCAAATCAAATCGGTTAGACAGTTTCAATAATTAACACACTGCATTACATTCTTCTTAGTGGTTAATTTCTGTACAAGATGCGTACATGACATCCTATTTACAAACACCATTAGAACAGATCATTCTATTACATTATCTTCCTACTTCTTATGAACCAATTTTTTTATCATTGAAACATTTTGATTAAAGCACTGGAAAAGTTTGAGAGGGAGAACTATGACAAATCATTTCATCAGCTCTTAGGCAGTTACATCATTTTCTGTAGTTATATTTTTTCTGTATCTCTTGCTCATCTTATTCTTTCCTTTAAGTTTTCTGACTTCCATGCTAATATATATCTTTCCTGGGGAACTTAGACCCATTTATTAGCATTATACATATATTTAACTTATTGACAGTAGGAAAATTTCTCCCTCCCAAAATGTCCTCAAAGAAAAAGTGACTTGCAAATCAAATTAACTTGGAATGTTACCTAAAGTAGATTTGATTGAAGATGCCAAGGAGCATATTAAAGCAATATTGCATCAACATCCTACATTTATTAAGTCCCTGCTGTGTGTCCTGCTTAGTTTTGCTTTGGGAACACAGCTACTTAAAGATATCATTGTCTAGTGGGCATCTTTGATTTTGGTAGTTAGACCAAATATTAGTTAATAATAATTAGCAGGGCTGTTAACATTGCAACCCACTTCCTCAGAGTATTTCTTATTTCTTAGGGTAGAATTTAGAATATTCCTATTACACAATCTGAGGATGAAGGGAACAAGTAAAACCTAGTCACACTTTCTCATTAAAGAAAGGCCATCTAGAAAGAGCAAAAGGTTAATCCCAAGGTCATCAACTTTGTCATGATATAACTGGAATTAAAACTCTGCTTCCTTGACCTTTAGTCTCCTACCATCCTAATCTGTCTTGTTACTGAACTTTCTAGAATAATTGGAGTCACATGACTTTTGTCAACCCCTCTAAAGTATTTCCTTGTTTTACCTTTTATTGTTAGTCAAGATTTTATATTATCCAGCTTAAGATTCTATATCAACAGCTCTATGAATCTTTACTATAATCTAATTGTATTGAATCAAAGCACACTTGTGCATGAATGTGTGTGTATGTGTGTGTTAAGCTATATTCTGAAAATGAATGAAGGCTTTATTTTTCAGATTCTGTCACTTAAATATAAAAACACCAGCGATATTGGAATAGTTTATTTTTGTACTTTGTGTCATTTACTGTGTTTGAGCACTTGGCGTTCATCATCTCACTTTATCCTCTTCACAACCTGATAAGATAATACCATTATCCTTTCATAAGGATTCAGAAAATAGAGGTTTGAAGACATAAGTCACTTGCTAAAGATCACATAGAGGCTATGTGAAGAGCTTACCTTGAAACCTAGGATTGTGATTCTAAAGCCGATGTACTTGATCAGGTGTCAGAAGTAAATGCAAGTGAGCACTGTGGAGCGCTAGATTTGCTCTTTCCAAAGCATCTTTATTTACTTTCATTGGCACTCATGCTAGTGGTTTTATAACTAAGAAATTACACAATGTAAATGAAAATAATGATTATTATATACAAGAAATATCTCTGTAATTAGTCACATCCCTTGTTTCTGGCATCTGAGCTCTAATATAAATCCTGGTTGTTTCAAAGCTATTCCTTAACCAGTTAATATCATCCTTTTAAGCCCCTTCCTACTCTGCAGTTATTTTATAACTTAGCATCTTTTTAATAGTAGAATTTATTTATTGGAGGAAAGAAAGCTCCTGTCCAGGAGGACAGAAGGGGGGGCCCGAGTGGGTTGTACCCCTATGATTAATCTTTTTTGTGTTGTGGATATCAAAGATTGCCTTATTATCATCTCTGCTAGGTTAAGTCCTTCAGCACAGCAGCCTTGGCATATTTATCTTTATATGATCCATAGTATTTCATAGAGTGAGGAAATGTTTATGGAAATTCTTTGAAAACTCTTAAGCATGCAGAAACAGTGTGTAATAAATACTTACCAAACATAAATTTTTAAAGATGCTTCATTGGGTTGTATGTGTATTTTATGCTTTGAATGAATTTTTGTTGCAGCTTATGTAAAACTCATTTGTTTTTGCTAATTTAACTGTCCTCTCCCTTTCTAGTGTGTGGATGGGGTATTAGGAGGTGAGGATTACAATCAGAACAATATCAACCAGTGGACTGCAAGCATGGTGGAGCAATCACTCACACATTTGGTTAAGCTGGGGAAAGCATACAAATACATTGGTAAGTAAGCATCAGTGGCCTTCCTTGCTGGTTTGCCCACCTTTGTCCTAATGATTTTTTTTTCTGAATTTTGAGAACATAGATAAGTATTAGGCACCGAAAGTGGATATTAATAGGGTATGAAGGGCTTTTGATTATCCATTTAAAGATAGTATATAATAATACCTAAAAGAACCCTAGGTGGCAATGCTTTTTGCATTTGCAGCAATTTTCATTTTGCCAAAATCTCCTCTGTCTTCCTTTCAGTAATCTCATGCCTCTCTGCAGGACTGTAATGTACCATAAACTGAAATGTGAAGTGAAATATTTCCTGCATTTTTTTCTTTAGTACCTGGTATCAAATTCAGGACCTTGTGCTTTCCAGGCAGGCACTATGCGGCTGAGTTATACACCTGACCCTTTCCTGCATTTCTGTATCTCAGTTCTGCCCCCAGCAGAGCATATGGGTTACCCCAGAATTTTCCTGAAGTACAATGGTAATTGGTTATAGCATTGACCCTCCCTCTGACCAGCAGCAGAAGCCTTAAAATTGTAATAATCAAGATGAGAGACTTTTTTCAGTGTACTGGCTATTTTTCAGCTTCTTAAAAATTATTTTTTAGTACTGATGATTGAACCTGGAGCCTTCACATTGAAATACATCCCAGGTACCCCCTACCCCTTTTGTGAGATAAAATCTCAGTAAATCACCGCATTGCCCTGGCTGGGTTTAAACTTGTGATCAACTCTGAACTCAAACACTTCAATCTTGACTTTTCCTTTGTCTGTAAGTGTCCTGATTCTGTGATTTTATTTGTAGTGACTTGTGCAGTGGTCCAGCGGAGTGCATATGGCTTTCACACAGCCAGCTCATGTTTTTGGGACACCACATCTGATGGTAGGAGACCTTTCAGTTGATTTGCCCAGAACGTAAAATCCAAATTTCTAGCAAAGTTAGTATGCTTTGTATCAAATGCCTATTTAGCTCAAATTAAATTCTATAGGCTCTATCAGCAGGATTGCCTTTTAAACCTACTTATAAATATAACTTCAGACCAGTATGGAATGAAGTGTGAGAACATATACAGATTTAAATAAATAATACTAAAATATGTGGAAAATGTGTGTATGTGTGTGTCCCCATTGCCTTGGTAATTTTGATATTTTGCTAATATTTGAAAGTTTTTTTCTTGTGTACTTTTAGGAACCTGTACTGTAAGATGGGAGAACCGAACCATGAACTGCATTGTCAATGTTTTTGCCATTGCAATTGTCCTGTGACCATCTAAAAACATTGGGCTAAAGCCACTAACTTAAGAATTTGTCAGTGTATCCTTTCCACAAAGTAATACTGATGACTATGTTAGATGACAAGTGTGCAATATGCTTCAAAGCTATCAACTAAAACTGACTATTACAAGCAAGTAATCTCACAGTATGTTAACAGGTTATCTTGTATTCTATATGGCATCATTTAAATAGGAAAAATTGAGTATTAGCAAAAAACAAATGGAGAAATATGGCATGATATAAAATATATTCTTATATTTACACCGGCTTTTCACTAACCTTATTATGTACCTAAGGAGATAGAAAAATCCATTCAGAAAAATCACATTATCTTTCAGCTACAGAACTTACCAGAGTTAAATATGTGACCAAAAAAGCTACAAGGAAAAATGTGGAGAAATGCTAAGAATTAGCTAGCACCTCTTAGTTTTTTTTTTAAATTTCTTCCCCTTACTTAGTTATGTTAATATTCAGTGAAAAGTAATTTTGTTTTTTTTTCTATAACTAATGTTATGGTGGGAACTATGATTATCTTGTTCACTTTTTCTGAAAAATGATAATTATTTTTTTAAAAAATTTAATTTGTTGGATTTATACTTGAGGTTGAATTCAATCTGATAATGTGAAATCCCTGGCGAAGCAAAATTTGTTAGACCATATGATGAACAGTACATGATTCAGACAACTGCCTTACAATCCACTCATCCATTTGGAACAAATATTGAATGCCTGTGTAAACATATTTCTCTGTTAGGCATTACAGTTATCAGCATGTCGTTCAAATACAAGTTTGTTTTAGCAGCTGTTCAGTTGGAAAACTAGCGGTTTTTTGGGGGGAAAGAAAAAAGGAGAGAGATTGTTTATAAGAGAGGAGAAGAGTGTCTGTCCATGTAGTCAGCAAAATGAAAAGCACTTACTAGTGATAGAACTATAAACATCATTGTAAGAGTTGTACCTAGCAGGTTAAAAATGCATAAAATATGCAACTCTTAGTTAAAGGCCTTATTAGTAGTCTTAACTATATAAGCAGTGTATTTTATCATTGTTTTAGTTATAACCATTTTTAAATAATTTTAAAAACTTGGGCTGTAAATTGAATGGAGTAAAGTCTAAATTATAAGTATACAATCATTAACAAATTATCTAATATCTCAGGGCTTAAGAACTCTTTAAATTTGTTAAGAAAGTAAAAGATATAAAGGTTCAGGTACATAGCCGTCCACCAAATGCGAAGTCAATCTGGTATTTAACCTTGAAAACAAAGTCAGTCTTGCATATTACCATTAATAAAATAATACAGACTGGAATCATTACTCATTCAATTTTTTTTGAGGCTGGGTCTCACTATGTAGCCCAGATTGGCCTCCAAGCCAGGGCAATCCACCTGCCTCAGCCTCCCACGTCATTCAGTTTTTGAAGAAAAGAAACGAGTAGTGTTAGTCCTAAGAATATTAAAGCAGTATTCTTGTAGGAGTACTGTGTGTGTGCTTGTGAGTAACAATAATTGTTCAACATTTAAGAAAAATATTAGGAAAACAAAATGATAGAATTTAATACAATGATCTGTGTTTGGATACATTAAAAAATTTCAGCCATTAATTTTATGTGACCTTATGCTGCTGGCTTTTGTACCCCTGGAGATTATAATAGTGACCAAAATATCTGTGCAGTTAAGACTTGTTTTTGATTATTGTTGTTGAAGCCTGGTTTCAAAAACTCAAATTATACCTCGTGAGCTTGCTCTCTGCTCAGTTTCTAGTTACAATATAATAAAGATTATCTTTCTGTGCTGATCTTTTGCTTTTGGCTGGTCATTCAGTAGCTAAAGAAATGGCATTGTATTTACTCTAAATGGGGTGGGGTTAAATATGGAATCACATAAATATATTATGCCAAATAAATACCATTAAAATAGTAACTCAGATCCACTATTGACATTTGCAACATGATCAATATCGTATGTTTTTTCTGTTACAATTTTAACACAAAATTTGAAGTTAAAAAATCGTGGAATATAGTCTATTAGCTTTTAATGGTTATTTTTCTGGCAAGGAATCTTGTCCTAATTGTTAATTGCGATTGAGTTGTTGTTTTTCAATTAAGGACTTTAAGTATATAAAATTAGGGTATTCAAATGTAAATAGTAACTCAGGTTTTGTAAAGCTGTAATTTTATGTTAGTAAAGCACTAGTATACTGCCTAAATGATGGCAGCATCTTATTACATTTTCTCTAGTAAAAAAATGCTTTTCTGCTCTTCCCATGTTGGGTATTATCTAAGTATGAGCCATTGAATGTGTTTTCACCTCCTGCCTTGAATATCACATTTTTAAAGTCATCTTGAATGTTTAGTATCACATTTTTAAAGTTTAAGTAAAGATAGTTGTGTGATCTTTAGAATGCTATTGAAAAATGTGAGAAAAACCCGTGCTATTTTATGACCAAGGAATAAGGTTGCTCTGGGGAGCCACCTACAAAGAGGAAAAGAGGAGAAGGTAAGAGTGAGGGAATGAAAAACTCTGAGGAATGTTATGTGATTTGACACTGTGCCTAGAGAAGTACATTTAAGGAAACCCCATGCATGGTAATTAAGTACTTTGCCCTTGATACTTGGTGCTGATTAGATTTTTTAAATTGTGTTTACCCAAAATTATATTGGCTGAAGCAAACATGTCCGCGTGTGGGTGATTATTTGTCTCCATTTCATAGTTGGTGCAAATCTAGGCATATACCAACCACTCCCACAACTCACCCCTCTTCATTAATTGGTTCATCAAGCCAGACTTTGCATTTGTTCCATAAATGGTTATTAGTCGAAGGGAGAAAATGAAGTCAGCTATGGTCCGAGCTTAAGGCCAAGTCAGAATGTCTGGATGCAGCTGCCATTGTTTGCAGCCATGATGATAGGCATTACCACAGGAAAAAAAAATGTTCTGGGAATGATTAGCATGCTCTTTTGGGGTTCAGTTTTGCAGCCTCTGGTCAAACTTGCAATAGCTTATATCACATACCACACTTCTTTGTATTATACTACTGCTATGGTTAGTGTCTAGTTGTCCCCCCACTACGCACTCAGAGCCTCATGCAATCATGGGGTAGACTTCTAGAGGTTGTGATTAATTCATGATCCAATGCTGTGATTATGGGCGTGAGTGCTTCTGGGATTATGACTGCACCCTTGGGCAGATAGCTTGGATGCTGTACAAGGAAGGGAGAGAGGCTTGCTAGCTGCCATGGCCGCTGCTCCTCCCTTTTTGCTCTTGCTGTTTTGCTCTTTTCTGCCTCCATGAACTTTTACTCTCTGCCATGTACCACTTTGCCTTGGATCCAGCTGAGTATGGACCAAAACCTCCAGTAACTGTGAGCTAAATAAACCTTTCCTTCCTTAAATGTGGGTGTCAAATATTTTGTCCCAGCAATGAAAGAAAAGTAACTAAGATACTACTTAAATAAATTGAGTAGAAAATGAGGAAAGCAGCAACAATTTTCTCTGTAATATTGTTGTTAATAGCAAATTTAAAAATAAAAACAACTAAAATATCCTCCAAAGAAAGAAAAAACAACTTATGGAGGAGAGAAGGAGAAAATATATTAATATTTTCCTCATGTATTGCATAGTTTGAAATAGTTAAACAATTACATATTAATCTTAAAACAATGAAAGTTACATAATACTTGAATACATTATTTTCATGTAAACTATTAGAATGTAATAAAAAGTCTAACAAGAAGTTGACCTGCCATCTTTTTGTTTTGTTTTGTTTTTTGAGATAGAGTCTTGCTATGAAGTATAGGCTGGCCTTGAACTCACTATGTAGCCCAGGAAGGACTCAAACGTTTGGTGATCCTCCTGCCTCAGCCTCCAAGTGCTGGGATTGCAGTTTGCCTTACTTTGCCTTTGGGCCTTTACCTATCTATCTATTACAAAGATGTAAAAACCGGTATCATTTTGATGTACATTATTCCAGGCACTTGTTTTGCATTTATATAAACATTATTTTGTGAATGTATTTTTATGTTATATAAATATATATGATTCTATAGGTTGCTCATTTTATGTAGCAGTATAACTTAGGAACTTTTTTTTTTAATATCAGTGTGTACAGAGTAGCCTTGTTGAGTTTAGATGCTGTATTGTATCCTATGGCCCGGTGATAGTTGATTCATTTTTCTGTTGAACATTACACAGTTTCTCAAATTCTTTTACAAACAATTCTGCTATGAAAATCTTTGTTCAAACCTCTTGATGTCCAAGTAAAAATATGTCTACAAAACACTTAAGGAGCTGAATTATTGGGTTATATAGCATACTTTGCATTTTATATTTTAATTGATGTTCTGTAATGTAAAAATAATGTCTTGATAAGAAATAGCATAATTAAAATGCTTAAAAAATAGCAAGTTGCCAGCCCAAATGTGGCTGCAAAGATCCCATTGCACTCTAAAATGGAATTCACTGTGAATATAGCATAGTGCCCCCCTTGAAAATAGGCTTGAAAATCATACACATCTGGCTTGCCTTTTATTGCCATGCTTAGGATATAATATCTGTACCTGTGTGTGTGTGTGTGTGTGTGTGTGTGTGTGTGTGTGTATGCGCGTGCACATGCGCATGCACACTCCTTACCATATGCACACTGCATAGACCTTGCAATAGAAGGCAAAACTAATAATGTCATAAGTTAGGTTTGTCATTTCTTGAGTCAAAGTGTTAAAGTATCCAAAGTCAGAGAGACCACTTAGTCGCCCAGACGATCTTCATTAATACTCTTTGCTTTGCCTCCCTGCTGCAAGCACAGTGCTTGGCAAAGTTCAAGAAGCCTCTATTTTCTACCTGATTCAATCTCCAGTTGTTTATGTGATGGTGATATAATCATTTCTACTTTCTAGCCTATATTTAATTAAATTAAGGGACAGTTTAGCCACTTTTAACTTTAATATGTGGAATGAAAATTAAAATCAAAGATCTAATATTTAGATATTTGTTACATGTATGTAAATCATATCTTATATGTAACAGATGAGTTGATACTAAATTAACCCCTTTCATGTATACCAGAACTTCACTAGTCCTTTTTTCCTGATGACATGTGTTACTGTGTATTACAGGACTTTACACAATTGAAGTGGGACTGTGCTTAGGGATGGCTCCAGCTCTAGGCATATAACTCAGCAGTAAATTGCTTACATAATATGAGCAAAACCTTGAGTTTGATCCCTGTATTAGTTACTCTTCTCTCCTTGCTGGGACAAATACCTGACACTCAATATGAGGGAAGGAAAGGTTTAATCTCACAGTTACTGAAGTTTCAAGACACTGTAGTAGAGGCTGGGGCACTGCCGTGTCCAGGATGACCCTCTTCACATCTCTGAGAAACACAAACTAGCCAGTTTAAGGGTTTGTGCCTCTGGCCCCACCCCTCAGGCCCTGCCCTGGTCCTCTGGCCCTACCCCTGAAGCCACTCCTTGTTCCTCCAGCCCTGTCTGCCCTATAACTTACATGAGGCATTGGGGGGACAACTACACACAAACCATAACAATCCCCAACACAACAGAAATTAAGAAACACTGGCAGTAAGCAAGAAAGCAATTTTAAGCAGGAAGTCTGGTCACAGATGGCCATGATTCTGAATCCAGATAGGTAGGAGTTATCAGAATCTAGTCCAGCTTGAAGCATATTCTTCCCCATACCAGGATACAGACAAATTTATGAGCAAGTCAAACTCTTATCTATGCCATTTACAAATTTTCTGAGGCTTTTCTTTTGAAGGATTATGGGAGTGTAAGAAAGCAGACTTCAGAATAATCTTCTGCTCTGCCACTACTTTGACCAATGCTTCCCAAATGTAATTTGCAGACCATCCACAGTGGGGAGGCCTGCATTTTTAACTACCATGAAAGCCTGTAGGCTCCATTCTTGATGTGCTGAATGAAAAAGAGACTAAGTTGGGGAAGAACTGAATAAGTTGGGGAAGAACTGAACTTGTCCACTTTGTGCAATCTCCTCTGGCAATGTGTAGAAGGCCACATTCAAGGGATAAGATTTCTAGTAAAACTTAGGAGTAAAATGTGTTGTTAGGCAGAAGTAAGAGTGCATGGTGAAGAGTACAAAGAGGATGTGGATGCTTCTAGCAAGCAAAAGTCTGTATAGAGAAACTCAGTGGTGCCACAGTGATCTGAATAGATAGATAGATGATAGATAGATAGATAGATAGATAGATAGATAGATAGATAGATTCACTACAAAATGGTCCTTCATTTATATCCCCCTTTTTGTTTACTTTTGTCAGAGATAGGTATCCCATTGCCATTCAAATATTGTAGATGCATGAATTCAGCAAAATATTCCAATATAGTCC